GTAGTTTAGATGCTAAATTGTTAAAATCATGACCTCCGTGGGTAGGGCGGGGCCACAATAGGGAATTCAACTTTTACAGCGGAATATTTTATGAGGAAAAAAATTTAAAAATCTTCTTAACGACGTTCGATCCTGATATTTAAAGTCTTAAACTTTTTTTGCCAAGTATATTTTTAGCTTCTACATACATAGCTTAATTAAAATTCAAATCAAAAAATGGGGGTCAATACGCTTCTTCTGGCGCTATAGAACATTTAATATGACCTTTTTGCACCTAAATTTGTGTCTTAATTAAAAATTAAATTTTTGACGTTTCCCCTCTAATATTTTTATCCAATTAAAGCATGAAACAAAATGAAATTTTTGTTTGTTTAAAAAAGACACTTAAAAATTGTGACTAAGAAAAAGTTTAAAAGCATAATCAATTATTTGACCTTTCTGCACTAATAAAAAGTGATTTTTCTGGCATTGAAAATTTAATAAGCAAGAAAATTATTTTAAAGTCTTAAACTTTTTCTGATTTTGAGCAAATAGGTCAAATTTATCTTGAATATTTAGAAAAGAACATCAAAAGTGGGCGTATATGATGTAAATTTTCAGATATTACTTAAAAAGTGTCAATTTTTCGATAAAATTGGCTTAATTTTTTCCCGGATTTTCAGAATATTTTTACTATATTTGTCACACTTTGTTGATAGAATTCATAAGAAATAATTTGATAGATATTTCAGAGCTAGCATAACACATTTCACTGCAAAAAACAGCTTTGTGTGCAACCAGGATGGAAAAATAGGAATCCAAAATTAACAGTACTGTTATAGTTCAAAACGGAAAAAAAATGATCATTTTCGTCTAAAAAACCTTCCTCCACAAAATATAGTCCTTAGCTTAATTCTACTTGAATGGAATTTAATCGCGGTTTTTTATTGAATATAGTTGAATTTGCACTGTAGAATTCAGATTTAATGTTAGAACTTAAAAATGATGCAGAATTTTATAAATAAAGGACCTGACCAAAATATGCTCAAAATCTCAGGATCGAACGTCCTTAAGATTTGGTTCTTTAAGAACCATTGGACCAGACAAGCTGACACTTATGTGGAAGCATCCTGGAATAGTGTAGATTCTAAATTGTCCAAATCATGACCCCTGGGGATAGGATGGGTTTATAATGGGGAATCCAAGTCTTACATTGAATTATATATGGAAAAATCTTACAAAATCTTCTTCTCAAGAACCATTGGGTCAGCAAATCTTAATCTTTTGTAAAATCGACATCCAACCAAAAACAAGGTAATATTATAATAGTAAAGAAAGTTAATCTTGTTCTGTAATCAATGTATAATGATATATAGCTGATCTTCACTCAATATCTTGAAGATTAATATTTCAAATACTGTAGACGTCCTTTTTTCCACGTGGTCATAATTCTGTGGAATCTCAATTTCTGTTTAATCCGCGGGTAAAAAATTACGCGGATTTTCTAGATTGTCACTATATGCCTTACATTTATATTATGTATGCTTGGACAAATTTCCGCGGAAAAATTGTGACCGCGTACATAGCGTAAATTAATACCACATGGAAAAAAGTACTTCTACAGTATTATAGATGTCTCAAAGTCAGTTAGAATTCTTAACTACTTTAATAATATTGTATAATCTCAGTATCTCAAGTACTGGGGTAGTGGGGTATATCTCAAAAGTCTATCTTGATTCCATTGAGTTTCAGACAATGAGATTATACTACTGTAGAAGCACAAATTTTCATGAGGATAGAATTTTGTTGATTTGTCATCAATAATATTTTTGTGGGCATTTAATTTCGTTGTTTTGAAAATAACCCTAATCAATGTATAGTTACATAAAATTTCGTGTGGGATTTAATTTCATTGATAATTGTTAACAACAAAATAAACGAAATTTAATCCCCCACGAACATTAGAACTGCTTTTACAGTATATATGGAATTAAAAATTCTTGTAAAATAAATAAAAAAAGATTCATTTTGAATTTTCAATTTACCAATTTTTACCTTGTTTTGCTGAGTGTAGGTCTTAATTCAAAGCTCTTCACCTGTCTGGTACTTCACCAGTACTGTTATGGTGAGGTCTCAAGATGATTAAAAATTTTTGAATGGGATTTTAAACAATATAAAATCAATCAGTTGATCTTTAGAAATCTGCTAAACATGAAAAGTTCTAAAAACTCTATAGGATAATCAGTTACAGTAAAAACATACATGTAGGGAAACACTTATAATGAATTGATGTGTTTAACGATGTGATTTTCATTCTCTGTGGGTTAATTATAAACACATTTTGAAGTAAACATATAAACCAATTATTGTTTTTAACAAAATTGAATCACCCGCCCTTGGCACTTTTTATACTTTTTATGATTGGAAAAAATTTCATGTGATAGACATATATTCCTTTATTCTCAAATTTCAGTACAGTATTGTCTCTGAACAAATTGTGTGAGTCCAATGTGAGATAATTTCTCTCTACATATAATACACAGATTGTAGTCTAATTCACATCAGAAGGGTGCCAAGATTCCCTGAGAGAGAAAGAATAAGGGTTGTTATGGTAACTGATCAATATATTGAGTTAATTGCCGATATTGCAGCATTTGAAGTCCTTGCTATTTAATGTTTGGCTGCTTATTGATGTTGCAGCTTTTTTATCTGAAAAATTCAAGACAATGTGAGAAGATCTAGGAATCAATTGCTGTGTTTTAAAGCCATTCAGACCTCATTGATTTGTATAGGAATTTAACGATCTCTGTAGGCCCGGCTCTTGTAGGCATGTGATCGTAACATGTAGACCTCTGGGGCTCCGTAATTAAAACGGCAGTTCGATGAACACAGAGAAGAGCTGGGCAGTCAGTCGCTCAGGACATATATAAAACTGGTAAAATACCCCGAGGATAATTCCGCTGTGGAGAGAAAAGTTCTCCTTTTCTAGACTGTGCTTATCATTACCAAATCAATGCTTCTCTCCTAACAAGCATACTGCAGAGGGTAATAACAGCCCTGATAAAACCAGTCTGGCTGATTAGAGAAAAGTAATGTCACAAAATGGACCACAGCAGCTCCATTCATGTTTTTAGCATTTAATGGAAGCAGATTATTACATCCCACTTGACATGCCATATATCAATGTTCATTGTAGATTTACACCAAATGGAGCTTTAATTTCTTTAAGCTCACCTGAGAAAAAGAATCAAGGAGACATTTTGTCCTGCCACTGTCCATTTCCTATAGGCATTGTAAATTCACTAGATTGCTCACAATTCTATCTTTTTTTAAGAATCACTTGTCAAATTTCATCCAAATTTGGCACATAGAATCCTTAGTTAATGTTGAACAGATTCAAGTTTGTTCAAATTAAGAACCATTATTAAACCTTCTTCCAAGGGGAGATTTTAAAGAAATATGCAAAAACAGGGTGTGATAATTTTATAATTATCTTCTTGAGGGCCACAGGTCTAGAAAAGAGGAAGGTTCATATGTAAAAGTGTCCTTAAATCAGTTTAGATATAAATTTGTTTGAATCATGGTTCCGGGGGGAGGGGGGGGGGGGGGTACGATGGGGCCACAAAAAGGGAACAAATTTTTTATATTGGAATATATAGGGAAACTGATATGTAGATCCACTAGAACAGCAAAACCATGATTATTCAAATAATGTTCCAGCTTCTTCAGATAGTTTAGACGTTTGTTCGGTCTGTGGCTCTTGGGGATAGGGTGGGACTACAATAGGTAAGGAGGTGCCACAATAAGGGATGGCAAAGTTATGTTAATTACTAAGGATTCCTTCAGTTGTAAGTGAATACTAATTATTGAGCAATTATTATAAGGAGTTGATGTCAAATTGTTAGAACATGAGATTGCAATAGGACAAATGATAAGAATCTATGGAAAAGTATATAATTTAAAATCTAATCCCTCTTGTTTTGTGAGTTTTCATGAAAAGTTAATTTGAAATTATTGAGTACCACAACTCAAAATTGTTTGTCTCTTACACATAATTGGTTTATAGTGTTGGCAACGAGTACCCGGTTAACCGGTTAACCTTCGAACGATGCGAGTATCGGTTAGTAAAATTGCTAATCGATTACTCACAAAAATCTTATATGGTAAATAACAAAAATAAAATGTTTATTTGTTTATAAGCGTACAAATAAACATTTCTCTATTTTTCTTTACCATTAGACTTAATGATCTATGGTTTCACTAATACGATTGATTGGTTTTCACAGTTAATTGATAGCTTTGATTGCCAGCAGGTAATACAAGTTTTGAAGACCCAAATAATTACCTCATGAAATAATTTAACAAGATGCCGCCAAAGACATGTACATGTATAGCTTGGAAGCACAAAGAACATCTGATTCCATACCTGTAAAATGTAATTAATGTGAATTGGATTTATCGTGACTTCAAATTTCTAAATAACTATTCCCCTTGATCGTGACATATATCGGGGGTTGAAAAGTAAATACTGAAGAACGCCATTGTAAAATAGCGTGAAACATTGAATATTTATTTTTCTTCTGATTTATTTAATTTTTTGATTATAATTGTGTGTAAAATTGTGTGTGCGTGCATGTTCTTTTTAAGTTTATAAATAAAGTTATTTACAATTCCTTTGTGTTTTGGTCAACCGATGAGTAATAGATGAGATAAATGATACATATTAATAAATCATCCGAGTAACCGGGTACTCGATCGGAAGATTGAGCGAGTAACCGGTTACTAAAAATCGTCCGATTTGCCAACACTATTGGTTTACACCCCCAATTCTATTATCATATGTAATACATAGATTGTAATACGTCACAAAAATCTTTAAAAAGCACACATGCCTTTTCTGATGAATTGTATGGGAGAGAGAGAAGTCATTACCCCTCAGTTAACTGAACCTGTACCACTGCGTCAGTGAACAGTAAGCCGACAGCTGATTGGTTATTGGAGTAAGAAGCCAATCAATAATGTTTTTACTGATGAGAGTCTGACATCACAATCACAGAGACTGCTGTATTCAGAAACTCAGTGTTATTACGTGGTCTCCAGCTGCTGGCCTTGTCTATATCTAGCCCCGGGGGTAGCTCTCACCCTCACTCCCGGCGTCTACCACGGTCAGCCCTCGGTGTCATTTTGGTGCTAGGATTTGTGTGTGATTTTGTGTGTACTGGTGTGATACTTGAAGTGTATTGAAAAGGTATATATCTGTGATTTGGTCAAAGAGTTGTGTTCAATAAGTCTGAATTAGATTATTGGTAGGAGATTTTAAACGGCTTGTTGAGTGATGTTACGTAAAAGGATATATTGATCATCATGGGCCTGTGTTTAATCTACACTGAAAAGCCTAAACAGCATTCACTGCATAGTTGTGTCAGAGGTTAGCTCTATCAAGGCATCAGATGGCAATGGTATTTACAGGGAGTCAATATGACTTGTTATTACCTCCCTCTGTTATATATACAACTGTATATTAACCCCCTATTTTGTTTTGATTCAGTATTCAGTATGGGACAGTAATCTCGGAAATTATACTTTTATCTTTAGTTTACTGTGAAGCTGCATGTGTAAAATTTTGGATTGTAATTGCAAGTGTACTGTTTTTCAAAGTCGGATGTAAAGTTTACTGTAAACTATTTGTTTTTTTTTACAGATGGCATCAGCAAATGATTCAAAGTGGCAGAAGGATGCCGCGGATCAGAACTTTGATTATATGTTTAAACTGCTTATCATCGGAAATAGCAGTGTGGGAAAGACCTCCTTCCTGTTCCGTTACGCTGACGATTCCTTCACATCGGCTTTTGTCAGTACCGTCGGCATCGACTTCAAAGTAAAAACTGTGTTCAGACAGGACAAGCGGGTCAAACTCCAGATATGGGTAGGTACTGAGTTGAAAGGTTTACATGTAATTGTACAATACATGTACCACGGAATGTATCAGTGCTGAGATCAGTGATTAGGGATAAGTTGAAAGGTTTATAAGTTATTGTGTTTTGTATAATAAGATATGGGTAGGTACTGAGTCAGTGATTAGGGATGAGGTGAAAGGTTTATAAGTTATTGTACAAAACACTGGCTTGTTTCTCAGAGAACTTCAGAAGGTAGGAAATATTGAAAGATTAAGAAAGAGGAGAAATAAAAAAATCTTCATCTTATGGTTAAAAAAACACAGTGTTCTGTTGCATTGGTTTACATGTAATTCAAATTGTAAATTGTTTATAAGTTATTGTGTTTATGATAGCAAGCTCTATTTGTTTGATGGAACTTATTAATTTTTTATTCAAAATTAATCATAAAAAAATTTATCTTAAATTTATAAAGGACATTGTGTAATTGTGACATGTACTGGTAGATGGAATTTACAGCTTTTGTGCAGAAGTACAATATAGTATTAGCTGGAGGGCATTGGGACAGCTATGCAGTGATGCATACTAAGTTAAATAAAGGATTGAAATTCAGCATAATTACATCATAATGATAACATCTGTTTAATTTGACCAATTTTAGCAAGTTGGTGCATAATGTTATTGAACTGCGATGGTATTTGATTGAATCCTAGGCACTGTTAACATGGTTAAGAGTTATTTGTATTAAAATTTCAATACAGAGTAACAGAATGGAATCACCTTACAATTTCTAAAAAGCATACATAAAATCTAATATTGGCTTTTGAAAATACTGATATTATGGCTGTTTTGTTTGATCTTAATTTTGTTGCAGTTAATGTTGTGATCAAGGTACATATGTACTCTAGTTTCATTATTCAGGTGTTTGAAGCAAGAACCATATTTTTTAATCAATAATTAGTACATAAAATGTCTTTGATAAAATCTAAGCTAGTAAACAGTAAATTATTTATAGGTTAACTCTTCTGGAAGGGAGGAATTTGTTTTGGGGAAAAATGCATTGATTCGGAAGCCAGATTTCTGTAACGGAGGCTAATAATCAATCGTTGATTAAATATTCACTAAAGGTGTCCCTTCATGTCAAATCTGGTGAAATCAAACTGTTTTATCTTGTACTGCAAATTGCTTGATGTCAGGATGATACTATTAGGTCTACATTTTGTTTGAACTGCATTAACATGGTAACAGAGTGTGTGGGTATATCGCTATGTCACAGAGGTAGGGTTATTCCGTGAGGTGTAATTACAACAAGCTGAAAACGAATTGATTTCCATCAATTTTCACTTAGATATTTTACTGCAGTTCAAACCTATAAACATTTGGAATTTAATTAAACAGTTATATAGTAGACTTTAAAAAAAAAAAGATATTGGCATTTCATGATAAACGAAAATTAGTGAATGTGACATTCAGTGAAATCTGATATGTACTTTGATAGGTGAATTTCCATTTACATAACTGATTATAGATTAGATTCTAATCTTAAGTTTGCAACACTCAAATATATAAAAAAACTGATATACCAAGGATATGTGAATGTGATTTGGAAGTCCTGATCCCTTATTTCGGAAGTATTTTACCCTGGATATCTTGAATCCTCGAATATTTGTGTTGTTTTTCCTCAGTCCCATTTGGTTTGAAATAACAGGATTGACTGTACCAAGAAACTATACTGCGAAGATAACTTGGATATACTGCAAAATATTTCATGAATCATCTATCTTTTTTTAAAATTTTTTAAATGACTTGAAATATTTCTGCTTGTTATTGTATAACCTCTATATTACAGGATACCGCGGGCCAGGAGCGATACCGCACTATCACAACAGCTTACTACAGGGGTGCTATGGGATTTATCTTAATGTATGACGTCACAAATGAGGAATCCTTCAACGCCGTCATGGACTGGTCAGTATCAGAAATATTCAAAAGTTACAAAAAACCCGGACAAAGGATGTGTGATTACTGATATGAGGCACTCATTTACATCTTTCTGAAACAGTGTTCAACATGTTATACAAAATTAAGAAAAATGGTAAATTACATTTACTTGATGACATGAGATCAAGTATAGAATATATTGCATACACTTTTATAAAGAGGGATCCCCAGAGCATCAAAGGGTTTGTGACATATTCCATAATTGATCAAGTGTCATCAATGTAACTGATTTGTCCAATGGTGTCTCAACCTTTTTGATTTCAACACTTTTCTTGTTGAAGTGGATGCCACACATAATATTTCAAATTAACATTACAGCTTACTCCACTTATATTGAACTCGCTTATTTTGAAATTCCACTTATTTTGAAATAGAAATAAATCCCCAGTTTTTGCCTCTCGTATTCTTTGCATTAAAATAACGTTTATATTGAAATCGGATATATTGAAATTTTGCTTATATTGAAGCCACTGATCGGTCCCCACAGGTGATAATGAGTTGTTTTCATAACGGTTATATTGAAGTACTCCCTAGCGGCTGTCGTTACGATTGGTGACAGTAATTATGCCAGTTGATATACAAAGGTGTGAATAATGAAGTTTTCACCTTATGTGTTTTTATACTGCATGCTCTTACGAAATAAAATTCTTCACTGTTAAATTCTTTGTGTCCAGTATATTATACGGACATATTGAGGCTAATTAAACAGCTGTAATGTAATATAGTAACCCCCACAGAACTAGGGGAAAAAAACATAACTTTGAAATTAAATACGTATTGTTAATGGCTATTGATATGCCTAAATTCGAAATAACTAAGGGATTGATTAACCCGAGTACACTTACGATGAAATACAAACAGCGTTCAGCAGTACTCAACCGTTTAAGGCCGGTGATTTTTTTTTTTCAAAACGTAAATAAATGCGATCAGGGAATAATAACGGGGTTTGAAGTTTGTCTTTTCAATAATAAAAACAGAAATAAAAAAAAAAAAAACTTTCAAGGACTCATATTCTATGTAATCTGCTCACTGTTGTAGACAAACGATGACAAATCAACTTGTTCGGGTTTGTTTTTCTTTATTTTAGATCGGGATTGAACTTGTAAAAATGGCGGCTTCACGATTTCGCTTATATTGAATTACGGATATATTGAAATGATTTGCATGGTCCCCAGAATTTCAATATATCCGGAGCAGGCTGTATAAGCCTTTGTTATTATTCATATATAGAAGCCGAGAAACAAGTAATCTGTGAAATTGTAACATTTTGTTAATTGTGCTTTTTTGGAAAATTTTGTTACATGTTTTTGAGGGATGTGCTAAGCCTAGAAATGGAACTTAGGCCTTGCCAACTGTGTATTTTCGGTTCTTTCACTAATTCTTTTATCTTTAATTTGTGAAAATTGGTTAGTTGAAAAGAAAATCAGATTGTGCACTTGAGTTGTCTAAAATGTATAGTCTTTGGAATAGAATTCATAAGTATCACAAATGAGATTACCAACATATCAGTCATGAAACATCAGTTAAAAAATGCACCATTGGACCAATTTAGACCAAGGTAGTTCATTGTTGGATGATAACATATAAGATTTGTCCCTGCATGGCTGTGCAGCTGTTTCACTTTAATAACAACAAAAACCGTATGCCACTTAGATCCTTTCCTTGAAAATCAAATGCTGCGAATGTCCAGATATATCCTTATAACTTCCTTGCAGCAGCCAGCTGTTACATGACTTTCTGTTTATATCATTTAGTCATTGCATTGTCTGTAAAACCCAATAAATGCATGAAAAATAATTCAAATCAAATTTATAAGGGACCTGTAATGGCAAAGATGTAGCCATAGCTTGTAGCAATTAGCATGTGATTCATTAAATCTCTTTATGTGAAATATATCTACCAGGTATACAATACAGGTGTTGTCATCACCTTTAATTACCTTGACATATCACCTGGTATTCACAGCTGTTTCCATGAAAGTTGCACTAAGACTTCATACAATACATGTATATTACATGAAATATCATTTATCTATTTTTCATAGAAGTTCTAATCATTGAACACTAAATCTGAGAAATGGATCTGACTTTAATCACGTAGAAAATTAACATCATTTTGTTTAAATATTAAACATTTTCATTTATACACATTTAAATTAGATATTATTTAGCATCATTTATATTGTACTCTATTTATACTTATTTTGGGTTTGCTCATCCATATAACATCAAATCCATGTCTTCCTTAATACACCCTAACACTGTTGTGTTTATTTTGTGGCTCATTTGCTGTTGAGTTTATTTTGTGATTTTGGTAGATTATACCCCCTAACACTGTTGAGTTTATTTTGTGGCCCACTATTTGTACACCTAGGTGCACTCAGATCAAGACTCATGCTTGGAGCAATTGTTGTGTTTGTCTGGTGGGTAACAAATGTGATTTGGAGGCGTCGCGTGAGGTCTCCACTCGGCAGGGGCAAGATCTGGCCTCCGAATTAGGTAATGTTACAACCCTACCAAACACACACACACACACCCATCCCATTCCCTCTATCAGCCTACCTCATGTACTCAGGAGACCCAGGCTTAGGTGCAGGCTTGCTTTATTTCCTATTGCACTTTAATTGCATGTAGCAGAGGAAAACTGAAGGGGAGAAGCTCTGGAAGTTTTATGATTGACTTTATCTTCTTGTAATATGCTTTCTGTGAAATAGTAAATGACAAAAGGGGAAAAGTTTTGAATAAATTATGAGATCTTAAAAGTTAAAAATTGTTATGAAATCAGTCATGTTACAAATTCACATTGCTGATGATCAGAATCACAGGATGTTGTCAATGTCCTTAAGGATATTTTATAAAAGATCGATCTAGAGCTTCATTCCATGAGTTTTCTCAGGCTTAAAAAATAACAGCTGGAAACGGTTTTATAGACTAATATAGAAATGTAGCAGGTGACAGCATATATCTTACTCAGTTGATTAAGGCTTTAGCTTGGGGATTATTAATTAGTGTAGTTCTAACTTCATAGGAACAAAGAATCAAGATACGAACACGAGACACAATACAGAATCTAATTCTGTCAATCTGCGTCATTGACTGGACTCCCACTTCCCGTAACTGAGTGATGAGTTGTTTGTTACTTGATCCTTTGTTTTTGTAATCATTAGCTATACTAGCTACAGTGATTGGTGAGGTTGTCTGTTCCTAGACATAGTGTAGGAGGAGAAAGAGGGACAAAGGTCAATAGGTCACACAGAAGGGTCGGCTGTGAGGTTAGAGGTAATAGGGTGAAGTGACCGAGGTTTTTGCTTTTACAGGTGTACACAGATAAAGACTTACTCATGGGACAATGCCCAGGTCGTGCTGGTCGGCAATAAATGTGACCTTGAGGATGAGAGGGTCGTATCCACGGAGAGAGGGAAGCAGTTAGCGGATCAGATAGGTACAGGATCGGTGTTGTCCTCTCCTAGGCTTGATTATCAATCACACACAATACAAGTATTCAGTTATCTCATGGAGCCTCTTGGAATGAGAGGCAGCTATTCTAGTTTACCTTTCTAAAGCATTCTCATAAGATAGATATCAAAGTTAAATCTCTATATATATGTGTATTTTATTTTTCGTAAGTATGCTGCCTTATGAGGTCAGTTTAGAAGTTGACCAACACTTAACACATAAACAAGTGGACAATGATATAAAATTCCAACTGCTGATACAGTCCCAGTTGTAATGAGGTGTATTGATTTATTCTGAGCACAGCACAGATCAATATTGTGAAAACCCATGGCTAGGAAGAAATGTCAGAGATTGTGAGAGAATGTAGCTGTTATGTAAAGCTATTTGCATTGCCTTTTTAAGTCCGGAAACAAACATATATTGATATTGGCCACTAGGGAGTGATACATCAGCTTCTGTTTCTCTTCAACACTTCAGACCAATTGTTGGCCACATAATAGTAGGGGAAAAAGAGGAAATTAATAAACTGTTTTAACTGTATCAAAAGAATTATGATGAAAGGAAACAAAAATATATCTGAACATGCTGAATATTGGTTTTATAATATTTCAGAGAGTAAAATTTTAATATTATTTATATACTTTTATAAGTTTTACATGAGCTTTTGTAATCAAGTCATTTCTTTTAAAAATTTATATTAAGATTTTTTTTGAAGAAGACATATTTAAAGTTCTTTAGTACTAAGAACTTGATTGATAATTTTATACTTTTATAAACTCTGTAGACTTTGACAGGGAGTTACATATCACAGAGGATGTTGTTTTATTTGGGAGCATGAATGTCTAGAAATAATTTCATTCCGTTCAGATGGATCTTAAGGCTGACATCTAAGAACATGGATCAATAGAATTGCTATTTCTGCTTTTAGACAAGCACTGCGAGCAGTCTTGTAATTGCTTTGGAATATTTATTATCTCTTTCACCTATCCCTCTGCTATCATTAAAGCATATAAACTGAAAACAAAGTAGCATGAGAGAAATGGGATTTCAGGCAAAGATTCGTTTTAATTAATAAATCTAATTCCTTTTATAATTCACTGTAATTTTGTGCTTAGCCTTTAAAATTAATTGAAATTTCTAGTTTTATTTATAGATTTTAGGAATTATCATGACTGTTTAATAAATAACTCAAATAAGTGCAGTGTGCCATAAATTGGTTAATTATTAAGAACTTTTGAATTTTTTTTGCAGGTTTAGAATTTTTTGAAACTTCAGCAAAAGAGAATATAAATGTGAAGGCGGTGTTTGAACGCTTGGTGGACATCATCTGTGACAAAATGTCCGAGAGTCTGGACCAAGATCCCTCCCTGGTAAACAGTCAGACCAAAGGAACGCGACTTACCGAGAACCCCAACCCCGAGAGCGGAAGTTGTCAGTGCTAGGAACTAAATCCCCTCTCCCGGGCATTCTGAACTGTAATTAGTGACACCCATCATAAAAATATTACGCTGATATAAAAAAAACTCATCTACTCTATAAGGACTGTTGTATGAACGGCATAGTGCAATTGATGGATGGAGAATGTTATGCAATATATTCTAGTATTAAGGAGTTGTTGTTCTTGTTAGAGTAGTCAGGAACTGTGTGTATCTCTACTTTGTACTCCTAGGTAGCACATTATTAATTAAAGCATGCTATATAACATGTTACTGCACATTTCTCACCGTTTAGGTTGACAGAGTATGGATGAAATTTTTTGAAGTACAGAGGGTTTTAGTGTTAAATATTTACCCGATAGAGAGATTATCATTTTTACGCAATTTATGTTTGAATTTTGAGCTATATGAATGTTCAGTCATTGGCAACTGAGGGTGGTCTCTATATAGGGTTCTTGTGATCAACTTTGTGATGTATTAATCAAATTAATGTTGATGTATGTGATTGAAACAAAGTCTCTATATAGAGGATAAATCCTACAGAATCTCTGGTCTTATTTTTCTAAACAGTTGGCAAAGTTTATTTTACTTAATTTTTGCTTTGTTATTTAAAAAAGACATATGTTGGACTAAGTTTGTATTTTTTTATTTTTCATTTTTGATGACATTCCAATAGCAGGGTGTTTATGTAGCATTTCTTGGATCCTCCCCTCAATCTTTACATATTATTTTGCCTGCTCGATTATGTTGACAATGGCTTTGTGAGACAGGTGCTTCCAAGAGATTTGGTTCATGGATTTATATCTAAAGAAATCCAAAGGGTATTCACATAATAGTACCACGTTCATCTATAGAAATCCAAAAGGTACTCACATAACGGTACCAAGTTCATCTAAAAAAAATCTAAAAGGTACATAACGGTACCAAGTTCAAGAAAACAGACATAAAGGTGCTCACACCAAGCCACTAACATTTAATATGTATTCAGAGAGATCTAAAAAGTACTCACATATCTGAAATCCATTTACATTCCTAAGAAATCCAGTTGTACTTTATACTTATAATGGCTACAGATTCTGTTCTCATCTCCAGAAATCTGATGTATTAAGATCTTTTGGTTGTGGTGTATTTATATTAGTTATATATTATGTTTATATGTTTACTGTTGTTTATACTTTTGTTAATTATTCTACATATAATATATACATGCATGTAAATGTTATATACATTCCAAAGTTTATCTCTTCACTGTGGTTGTGAATTTTGTTTCTGTTTTATGCTCATTATTTAATCTGAATTAAAGCCATTTTCCTGAAACCAATTGTGAAGCTATAAGAAAACCCTCACTTGTAATTAAGGTAGCTGCTGAGAGATCAGATAAATACTCTGCATTGTTATTGTCAAATTCCATAAAGCTGCCAGGGTATCCGATTCATTCCATTGTCCCCACTTTTTTTGAAAAAAAAAAACATTGAAATTTTTGTTTTGAGATACATGGATGGAATTGCTATTGTATTACATTTTTCTAATTCATAATAATGAAGATATTACCGACATTGTATTTTAAACATTTTTCTTCTGAGTAGGAAAGGAATAATTTGGTGTAGAATAGAGGTCATTTGCATATTTTTAATGAAATGGAGTCAAGATTTTTAATTCTAAATGCTGAATTCATTTAAGACACAATTTGTATTGCATGAAAATCATTAAAACTCTTGACCAATATCTCATTATGGAAGGAATGAAGCCTGTTGTCATGGTGACATATACGAGAGGTCGTTCCGCTCCGTATAATCTCGGCACTGTAGTAGCCTCTTGTGTATGTTTGTTTGTGTGTTGGATCAGACTAGATCTTGTTAATCAATAGTAACAGACCAATAAACTGGTAACAGTGTTCACTTTCTTATGTTTTTATTATTTTTTGCAAATGAAGTTTGAAGGATAGTTGTGATGCATATTCCCGATCTTTCTTTAAAAGTAATTTTTCTTTGACCCAATGCAAACTTTTTTTTAAAAATTAATTTTTTTTTCATTAGACATGTAGTGGACAGCCACACATATAGATGGACATGTGAAACTACAGGCAGCTAAAAAGACTGTAAACAGATAAGCTTTAAAGACAGTAAAAAAAAACTTTGAACAGACAGCTAAAGAGACAGTAAACAGACATTTAATAGACAGTAAATTGTCTATGGGCCATAATAATTGGAACTAATATGAAACATTCATTATATAGTGAAAATTCAAGTTTTCAATAATCCACAAGGGTATAGGAGGGCCACAGTTGGGGATGGAATTTAGATATGGCTGCAGTTTTTAGTTCCCCTTTTTCAACTTTTTAAAAATTTCTTTTTTAATTTAGATATTTCAGATTTCCAACGTTTTGGCATGAGCATCACTGAAGAGACTTCATTTGTCGAAAAGCATGTTTGTGTATCAACATTTGGACCATATGCATAAGATTCATATTTTACATAGGAATATATAGGGGAAAGTCTTTAAAAATTTTATTCTCCAGAAAATCACCGTTATAATTGGTCATATTTATTTAAAAGCAACCTGAGATAGTGTAGATTAAAGGTTGTTCAATTAGGGGTATGTAGGATATATATATGGGGCCAAAATGGTGGATCAAAGCTTTACAGAGGAATATATAGTAAAATCTTTTTAGACAATGATTTGAAAGTATCTTCATATGGTGTAAATTCAAAGAAGAAGGTATAGTTTTAGCTTTGTTGTGCCCTAAAAATGTAATGAAATCAAAAAGTTTTGAAACTGGCTTAAATAATAGTTAAATAAATGACTGTGATAAATCAGGAAAGAATATGGCATGAAGGTTTACCATTCTGCAAATATGACGTCATTAATGTGAAGCATTTCTCTATTTTCAACAGAAAAAGCCTCAATATGGCCCATTTCAAGGGTGATTTTTCCTTTAGAAAACAGTGTCCACAGCTGTCGCCCACATTAATTTTTTTATATTTTGTGCAAAATTCAATATCAAATCACATATCTCAAGATCTTTGTGGGCGATGCCTGTGGACAATGTTATCTGAAAGAAAATTCCATTGAAAATTGGTGTCTTCTGCAACTTTTTAAGAAAATACGAGAAAATGCACATGTTTATGACGTCATAATAAGCATTTAAAAACACGTGAGAAAAATGATTTGTATGATTTTTCTGCATTGAACTTCAATTATTTAAAAAGCATGAGTTTTCAACTTTTACACCAGTTTCATTTTTTAGAAAATCACAGGGCAAAATTTGTATGGAAACCATACCTTGTTCTTTGTTCAAATCATGACCCATGAGGAAGAGGTGGGGCAACATTGAGGGATCAACGTTTTACATTGGAATAATGGTATGACGGGAAACAAATGAAAACATTTAAAAATAACAGAGCCATGATAAGTCATATTGATGTAGAATTTGTAAAATGTTTACCTTAAACAAGACGTTTGAACTCCCTGTAACATTAACTTTTTCGTCAGTAGTCTCTCATATTCAAAATTGATCGTAATTAGAGAACATTTATTGCATTCCAAATCAGTTGGAAAACATAAACACCAAATGCAGGTAAAAGTGGAGTATCACTACATAAAAAGGAAAAGTTAACGATGGAAAAGCATGTCGTGTAGTTTAGATTACACCGTCTCTCAGATAATTAGGACCCAAAAACTTTTCCCAAACAATAGTTAATGAGTAATCAACTCATTTTTGAAAAAAAGGGGGAGGATAGGAATTTGACCTTTGGACATACACACTTTGGAAAATAGTGCGGTTAATTAATAAATTTTAACAAAAATAAAATTGTTAACTATTTTATCTTTGGAGACCAGGACATCTATTCACAAAAATTCTTACGACTAATCGTAGTCGTAAGACGGTCGTAAGATTTTTTCGTAATATTTTGGTTATTCACAGAAAATCGCACGATTGACGTTACGTCAAAAAACAGTCGTAAGTTTACGTCTAGTCTTGGGTTGTCGTAAGTCTATAAATACTACATAAAATATCAACTCTAAAAATGAAATTAGCCACTGCGTTTACTTTATCATAAAATATAAACAAAATGGAGCCAGGGAGACTAATATTTTGGGTCAGCGCGCATCTGTTTGAATCATTGACCAACAGGAAAATGATGCCGTTTACCGAGGAAGTAAAAAAGGGATGTCTATATACCATGAAACTATATTATTAATGCAAAAAATATAAATATAAAAAGATAAAGAAAAGAAAAAAAACAACAAAGTAAATGCCTTCAACAAAATGGTTATGCGTAAATAATTTTAATTTTTAAAGGGGGTGGGGTAAAGAATTATATACTCTTTTCAGCAAAAATATTTTTTGATACTTTTATTAGAGTAGTTTGCAAAAAGCAAATTTTATCAAATTAGGGGATAATCGCTGGCCTTAAATGAAAAAAAAGAACAATTTTCAGGAAAGGGGCACTACATGCCTGAGTTATCAACATTATTGCAACGTGATCTTGCAGGTGAATAAAAAAACGTGCTGGAACAATTTTTACGAATTCCAATGTAAAATGAGGTATCATATTCATCTATTAATTATGTTAACTTAAAAAGAATTTTTGAACTCGTCACTTTATTATTCAAGAATATGTAATAAAAAAGATATATGACGCCTGAAAATACTATAGCTACCATAAGAAAACATTGTACTTGTTTTTAAATGTCAGGAATATAAGGGGAAAAATCTTACTATAGAATTAACTTTTCCGAGACAAAATGTACTAGTATACAGTCAATATTGATTATAAAATTACTTCACTTCTGTTTCAAATTAAATTTTAAAAAACTTTACATTTATTCTATAGTCTCGAATCGAATGTGTTTTCTTTCGCTTCTCTTCAAAGAATAATATACCTTAGAACTTTATTTATTTTTGTTATATACAACTTTTAATTTTATAATAACCTTCAGTTATTTGTGATGGTTAACTGACTTTGAATCCATCTGCACCATTTTCTCAATCAGCTGCGCTCTCTACACCTATCAAAATTTTCCGTCCCTGCATGATGGATACAATCAAGTTGGGGTGTTGCTAAAACGCGGAACGGAAAGCGGAACGGAAAACGGAATATATTATTTTGGATTAAATCACTTGAAATACACAAATTTTATCATAAACGATATATTTTGTACATATTTAATCCCCACTATTAAATACAAAATGAATTTGTCATGCTCAGTCTCTTATTTACGAAAATCGCTAACATAGCATTCACCTAGAATCGAATTTGAAAAGGGGGAGGGGGCGAACTTGAAAAGTATTTGACAAGCAAAACACAAAAAGAAGACAATTGTTTGATTCGGAAGGGGGGACAAGTTTCAACTCCAACATCTTTCAGTACTATTTTTATACACTAACTCACTACATTAATTACATTCACAAAAAGTGTGAGGATGTCAACTTGAACGAACATTTCCGTAGTAAAAAGGTTATGAGGGGTGGGTGTAGGGGGGGGGCAAATATTTGATATTTAGATGAACCATGAAAAGAGAAATAAAATATAAAAAAAAAAATTATATAGATTACACTTAGGGTAAACCTTTACGGCAAGCTCGAATAAACATCTCTTATCTTATATGAATACACACTCGTTGTTAAATTTTTTTTCAAACAAGAGTAATATGTAAAGAACTACGTACTCTAACTCTTGATTCCCGCCTACATTTTGCACTCATTAAATTCAATTTTAATGGCAATTTGTCCATTAAATCTTTGTTTATTACAAAGAACAGTTCTATGGTAATTGATTAATCATTTTAATTCCAGCGCTAGATAGTAAATTATCATTAATTTCAGCTCTCGAAAAAAAGGGGGTAGACAATATTTTCTAGTGAAATCGAACTTTCAAGAATCACCATATTTTGAAATAGTCTTAAATATCATAAAATGTATCTCATATCTTTTCTTATGTTTTACGCAAATAAATAAAACATATATAAATTAATAAAATACAATTATTTAGTTGTAAATAGCTTTAAAATTGGTGAAAAATCAGCATTTTTTCGTTTTTTTGTCTAAAAACATATGTTCCCCCCCCCCCCCCGTGAAACACAAAAAGCTTTGGTATAAATTTGTAAAATGACAGTCCATATTACCAATAAAAAGGAATTTTTGTTTCACGGGGGGGAAAGATGTTTTAAAAATATTTTCCGTTTTCCATTGATTTCTATAGTGAAAAACTCAAGTTTTACCAAAATTATAGAGTTACCTCTCTTTGGTATCCCCAAAAAGTAACGTTTTATTAAAATTCATATAGATATCTATAAAAATTTTGAAAATCATTCTAATATGTTAACTTTTGATAATTGACTTAGAGGTAGGCGGGAGAACAATACTATCGTTCGTGGTTCTTTCCTCAATCTAATATGAAATACTTATTGTTAATTGTAAAATATTTTTAACCCCATAGGCATCGGTAGCAAATTGAAAGTTTGAAAGTGGGGTGGCTGATCATTACATGTCGGCAATCTAAATGACACATTTATTTTTTTACCTTATTATAACTTCAAAAAACCCACTAACGTTTTAGAGAATGTTTGTACAATCAAGAAAATCTTTTACTTTTTATATGAAGACCACGACGTTTATTTCGTTTTTAAGTACCCTATAATTGAAAGTAGATAAATATACACAGTTGAGCTTGATAAAATCATAAAATGCATCACTAATTAACATCTTTATCTTTCTATAACATTAAATGAATTTTAAAAGCCGTAGATATCGTTCATTTATTTATGCACGTTTGTATACATAAGCAACTGTCCCACCTCCATGCTGAAATGAATACTTTTTGCGCCTCTATCGCAGGAGAGTTACAATCTCGAACTGGCGTATTGAAAAGCGGGGGGGGGGGGGGGGGG